TATACACGATTTAGAGAATACATATCTCTTTTTAGCCTGCAGATTTGAAAAAACGTATTGAGTCTCTCATAGATAGAGACTACATGGAGCGAGACAAGGATAACGCAAATCAATACAATTACGTTGCGTAACCTAAAGCAAATGCCAAAGTTATATTGACTTGTAAAATCGACGCTGAATTTTCTAGCAAATTGAATCTGTCGTTATTGGTGTTTGTATCGTGAATGTGAACGAGTTCAAACGAGAGATTACATAACCGATCCGACTATTGAGATAAAGTTATAACGCGTGTGGTCAGTTCGTACAAAAGGAAAAAAAAAAGAAGAGACTCAGTGAACTTCCCCGTTTTGGTTTTTAGTGCATAAGAGACATTGAATGATTGCAATCCTCCTTCAACCAGTGTTGTGTTGTTTCTAAATTCTGCAAAATAAGATAAAAGGAAAGGACAAGACCGTGGGCTTGGTAATAAGCTTGATATGATTCTAACGTTATAAAATAATTTTTTATGCAACACAGTTTTTCACAACATACTTACAATTAAGATGTAATAAAGAAGGCAAAATGTATACATACTGCGACACTATCATAAAAATAGAGAGTAAGAGTGCAATCGCAATATAATTAGTTAATTCAAAAGGTGAACAACACAATGCAGTATTTATAACAAAAATAAAAGAACATACTATGTCTATATATACATATTATATATATACATATATATGCTATCGTGGTACTTATCTTTGAAATCTGCAAGTTATTTGTACCTCTTCACTTGTCTTCGTGTTTTTAAAAACATTTTTAACATTTCAAAATAAATAGAAACACGCGTGCTTGTCTCCATGTTAGACTGCATTCCGATATTTACTGTCAATATTGAAAATCTATATCTATAGTATACGTCGACGTAAAATATAGAAAAATATAGATTTTCAGGACTGATAGTGAATATCGGAATGTAGCCTTTTTTGGCTGCAAAATATGCAAAAGAAGTGTCCAGTTTGTCTTGAATCAAAGTTCTAACTGTACAACGGTGGGACGACGTAAAATAAATAAGATATCAATAAGTAGGAAACTACATGAATAAATTGTTATTAAAAACCGATATATATATGCATCATTATTGCCGGAAAATAATGTTAGAAATTACAGAAAAATAAATGATCATGCATGATCATGGCTTGTTAAATAATTTCGTGTCCATGTATTTATAAACTAGATTAGTAAATAATACACTTTTACGAACGCAGACGTTTACTGACAGAAATGTTCAGCTTATTTCGATGGAAGTACCCACCGAGAGTTTTAACATAAATCTTAAACGTCAACGCAAATGCAGCTATGCGATGTAAATGCATACCGAGAGACTATTGATAGCTTTGTTTTAATTGAGAGAAGATAGTACTGCCAGCAAAACAGCGTTTTGGTACGTCACTCGCGCTCTTTCTGAGAAGAGAAGATTGTAGCTTCACGTTGCCATGTACAGATTTAGGAATAACCTCAGGAAGCGAAGGTAGAGTATATAAACTTAAAAATATCTTCTCATATAAATTTATCTTATACTGCGTTTCAATTATATGTACGACGCTACAAAACTTATTTTTTTGTAATAACTCATAGATCTATCGAAATTGTACATAGAGAGTAAGGGGTTCTGTACTTATAATAAAAAATACAATCAAGAACAAAAAAATTAACGTCATTTTATAATAACGGTAACATCGTCATAATTACTTATCATTTTGCAATATACAATTTTGATTTGTAGTATAAAATGTTAAAGAAAAATATAGAGTGCCCCACTGTATTATTTTTCATTAACAGATTATTTAATGATTAATTTAATAATTTCCAATTTTTTCCTAATAAAAGAATATTCTGCCTAAGTTTCCAAAACCAAAAAGATATAAATGACAAAAGCATATTCTTTAATTAAAATTCAAGATTTTATGTTAACATTCAATTTTAATTGGAAATCTAAATTAAAAAGTTGCAACAATTTTGTGATGAGAAAAAATGAACTCCACATTAGTATAAGAATCTGCCTTCTATTAAAAAATAGAAGTAGAATATTCTCCATGTAACTTTTCAGTAATGAGCTATACATTTCAATATAATACTATCCTTTTTTCCTATAAGAATATATTCTATGTATTTTACTGCGAGGAATTTGTTACACAAAACTGTAATACAACTGTAACACTTGAAATATTACATTTACTACATATCTGTACAAAGAAAATTTACATCGTTGAATTATTTTATTGTTTGCACGTGTAGATTTTTTATATCAACCTCGTTGATTAACGATTTTGCAAATGTATCGGCGTTAGCTTCCTTATTTAAGAAATCCGA